TGAGCCCTGGCCGGAGACATTGTGTGTTCTTAGGCCAGACACTTTACTCTCACAGTGCCTCTCTCCACCCAGGTGTATAAATGGGTACTGGTGACCTGAAATGCTGGGGATAACCCTGTGATGGACTAGCATCCCATCCAAGGGGGAGTAGAAATACTCCTCGTCACTTCATGCTCCAGAAACTGGGATTAGCTCCAGCCTGATCTGCCACTTGGCTCGGATGCAGACTTTACTTTTTGCCACACATTGTGGAGTTGATTTTCAAATGGCCTGCCTTTTTATTTATTTCTAGCTGTCTCCATCCTGCACCATTTCTGATGTTAAAGAGGAGTATCATAAAAAATGTAAGTAGCCAGTTTGTGAGGTTTGTGACAGTTGTATAAGATTATATTGTCAGTATACAATGTATATTCTGTATGTCATTCTTATATGATTTCTAATTAACTCATTACAAAGTGAATCCAAGAGATTGTAACTTAGAATTATGTTCTGTTAACATTTTGCCCCAGTTTCAAAGTTATATCCTGAAAGACAATCATTTCGGCTTGAACCAAGTAAGTAATATCCCTATTTAAATGGATTTGATTCTGTTAGTACTCCACCATCATGGTAATATTTATACACAGTGTACGGATATATTTTTCATTATATTATGCTTTTTATCAAGATATTTCTGGTAACTATTTACCTGACAAAGCCTTTCATAGATTACCACCAAAATTAATCTGTTATTACAGTATGTGTGGTCTTCCCAGAAATTATTATTATTTAGTTCTCTGGATATTTCAATGCCATATTGATAATTAATTTACCACTTATAAATTTAATTAACAGTCGTATCAGGTACCAGGTCTGGCCTTCCCTTTTGATTCCATCATTTTTTATTTACATGTACATGAATGTTTCAAATATGTTTCCCTTTCAAGGAGGAAAAGCTGTGAAAGATGAAGAAACATTAGAATCCTTAGAAGTTAAGGATGGAGGCAAATTATACTTTAAAGATTTAGGTATGCATAAGACCTAAGAACACTCCTAGCTTGATTTAAGTCACCTTACATTGATATGTGCAACCACCAAAGTTTAATTAAATAGTTTACAAACAGCTTGCTTTGACTGCTGAATCCATAAGAGGAAAACAATGAAAATTCTCTATATAACTGTTTGCCAACCTTGTTCTCTCAATTTATAATAAGCCAGCCCATTTATGCATTATTGCTGAATATTATTATTTCATCTACTCAGGTCCCCAAATAAGCTGGACAACGGTAAGGAAATCACCCAGGTTTCTGCTTAATAAATTAGAATGTCAGCTGCTTTTGACCTTGGTAAAAAACTGAAAAAGTCAATTACAGGTGTATCATTACTGACAGTAATTAATTGACATATTTTTCCTCCGTTTGCAATTAGGTATTTTTAGTTGAGTACGCTGGTCCTCTAGTAGTTTACATGCTGCTATACATTCGACCTGCTATTGTTTATGGACCTGAAGCAGCCAGCAAACCTTATGCCACTGTAGTACAGTAAGTTTGCTTTGTAGTGGGTAAAAAAATTAGAGTGCATTTCAGAAACCTTTTGACAAATGGCTTTCGAAGTTCATTTGGAATTCCTGA